ACCTCTATGCTCTATAGGCTAGTATAGCTACCCAGTCTGACAAGAACTGATTTGCACTGACCATCCTTGTCACATTCCAACAAACAGGCATCTTCTCACTCTCGTAACTACACTCGTCAAGAGTACATAAGTGCATAAGTTCACGACCTTAGTCTCCCCCCCCCCCCCCCTCCCCGCTGGCCCCCTGGGCCACAATATTATTACCGGTACGAGTGTCTTTACCTCAAACCAGTGAATATTATTACATGCCTGGTTTAGATCTGGCTTTGGAAATTTTATTTCATTGCTGTCAGGTTCGGCCTCATTTTCTCTGTGCTGCGCTGATGAGTTCACAAAGAACGAAACAGCATGCTGTCCGCAGATTGAGTACATGTAGTACATGTATTATTAAATTTGGAATAGGGCAATCTCCACAGGTCTAGGACTAGGCAAGGGCAATCTCCACAGGTCTAGGACTAGGCAAGGGCAATCTCCACAGGTCTAGGACTAGGCAAGGGCAATCTGCACAGGTCTAGGACTAGGCAAGGGCAATCTGCACAGGTCTAGGACTAGGCAAGGGCAATCTGCACAGGTCTAGGCTAGGGCAATCTGCACAGGTCTAGGAATAGGGCAATCTCCACAGGTCTAGGCTAGGGCAATCTGCACAGGTCTAGGCTAGGGCAATCTGCACAGGTCTAGGCTAGGGCAATCTCCACAGGTCTAGGCTAGGGCAATCTGCACAGGTCTAGGCTAGGGCAATCTGCACAGGTCTAGGCTAGGGCAATCTGCACATGTCTAGGCTAGGGCAATCTGCACAGGTCTAGGCTAGGGCAATCTCCACAGGTCTAGGTCTAGGCTAGGGCAATCTGCACAGGTCTAGGCTAGGGCAATCTGCACAGGTCTAGGCTAGGGCAATCTGCACAGGTCTAGGCTAGGGCAATCTGCACAGGTCTAGGCTAGGGCAATCTGCACAGGTCTAGGCTAGGGCAATCTGCACAGGTCTAGGCTAGGGCAATCTGCACAGGTCTAGGCTAGGGCAATCTGCACAGGTCTAGGCTAGGGCAATCTTACACTGGGTACTAGTAGGTATACCCTATGTGAATACGAAGAGTGTTACTGTGTGACAAATACAATCAGTCATGTACTGGGAGATCTACCTGTCCGTGTAGATTTATTAGTACTAGTACTACTACTAGTAGATCTGTACCAGTGCCCTGAATCAAACGGTTCCGGTACATGCACAATAAGAGAATGGTAAACACGCGCGACTACTGCTGTAGCAAAGGTGTTTTCAGCTTGCGCGTTTTTTATTTGGTTCACACGGAAGTAAGTCGGTGACTTCGCACGCCGTATCGATCGCCATGCCCGAGATCACCCGGCAAGAAGCTGAAGCGAGAAGGCAGCACAGCCGAGTAGCGCACTCGCTGGGGCCGAGAGACCAACTATTTACTGGGCTTTAAGTCAGTCAAGCTCTCTGATATTCAGTTCTTCGACGTTCCTACAACTGCAAAATAAATTCGCAGGATCTACATGTAGGAGCGGAGAGAGAGAAATCGGAGAGATCATCGGACGTTACTGTAATAGGTCTTTATACCAATACAGATAAGGTCTGCAGCCTGGAACACATTGCAACCTGTTATAGGCGATATCTGTATTCACTTGGAGATCGAATACTACGCGCACTTCGACTGTGTGTAGTAAGTTGATCATGGCGTGGCTACAGTCATTCTTCCTGCAAGGCGTGGTGATCCTCATCGCTTTCGGAGCAGCGGTTACCGCAAGACAGTTGACCCGATATGGTTCAGACCGGTTGGTTGATGTACGTCAGGCTCAACCAGGTGCCCACACTGACCAGGGACTAGACCTGCAAACCCGCTCCTTCTCTGGTCACGGCTACGCTTCGCAGACATGCGGCGCTGAGCGATTCTACTGCGCGCAAGCAACCGGCACCAGCAAATGTCTTCCCAGGTCGTACAGATGTCCAGCAGGGCGGCTTGCTTCAACGCACATGCGGTGTTACATGCATGAATGCCGTAGGGAGAGCCCACATCGTTTCGCCGTGTACCTTGTCATGGCCAAGATTCCGCTTGGCTGGCTCTTGCAGATACCAGCACTGTTCCGGAATAAGAAGGCTCGACACGAGGCCGTCCTCTACCGAGGATTCTTGTATGAGTTTGGAAAGAGCTACCCGAGTGGGCAGGAGCTCGATGTCCTGGATCCGGCATACAAGTATCGCAATGGCCGCGAAGGCTACCGCGTGGTCTCACGCAGCGGCTCCAGTTCCTGTACTCGTGCCCAGGTGCTACGTATGATGAGGGCATGGACATCGACACACACGTACAAACTGGGCAAGACCGACTGCCAGGCGTTTGCCAAGCACCTGATCCAACAGCTTAGCAGGTGTTAGTGGCTTAGCTATGCGGGCTATCACAACCACCTTATCGGCATCAGCACAACCACCACCGCCTCCACCTCAACCATGCGTGAATAACGAAACCAACACAGACAGCACCACCAGCAGCAGTTGTAGCAATAGCCACGGTGGAAACAGTAAAAGCGACAGCTCAGGCAACATCAGCAGCAGCAACATCATCACCAACCACCGCAACAACAACCATACCAGCTACAGCAACCATACCAGCGACAGCAACCATACCAGCTACAGCAACAATACCAGCTACAGAAACCATACCAGCTACAGCAACCATACCAGCGACAGCAACCATGCCAGCTACAGCAACCATACCAGCTACAGCAACCATACCAGCTACAGCAACCATACCAGCTACAGCAACCATGCCAGCTACAGCAACCATACCAGCGACGGCAACCATACCAGCTACAGCAACCATACCAGCTACAGCAACTATGCCAGCTACAGCAACCATACCAGCTACAGCAACCATGCCAGCTACAGCAACCATACTAGGTACAGCCGAGGCAGAAGCAGCACCCATCAAAGCAAGCATTATTATCGTCGTTGTCGGCGTTGGCATCCTCATCATTAGCATTTGCGGCAGCAACTGCACCAGGAGCAGCATTAGCAGCAGCGTTAACATTGCATAATGTATAGACATTGCTGTAGCAATTCACACTTTCATCATTCAATGTTGCTGTTCACCTTTTTGAATTCTTTGCTCTCCTTGCATTCCTATCGTCATTGCTTTGTGCGTTCATTAACAACACCTTTTAGTAGCAACAGCAGCAGCATTGGCAGCAGCAGAAACACCATAGTGCATATTACTCCACCAGGCCCTCTAAACCAACAAAATTTGCCATTATCGTAACCTTTGTAGATTCTACAGTGTGAACCGGCAACTCCTAAAACACATCAGAAAACCAGGAACTGCTTGCAAGCCATGCAAGTGCAAGTGCATGTGCAGCAGGGTGCACGCAGTATTGTGAAACCTTGCCACAGCCGATCACTCGCAAGCCCCTCAACCTCCTGCCTCCGCACGTGCAGGCGGTTGGTCTCCTCAAGTGATACACCCAGTGATACCCTCACTACTGACATTAGTCAGTGGAAGTGAGATACCCGGCTTTGGGCAGTCTACGAGGTGAATAGCAATTTCTGGACATGAAAATAAAATAGAGCCCCACTGGCTGTGTGTGTTCTACATACAAGTAGAACAGCATGGGTGCATGGCCGTGATAGGTATGACAGTTTCAAATCCGTGACCATGGTGACTTCTTGAAGCTGCACACAGCAGACCATCAGGGGTTCACGCGTTCAGGTACTTTGCCCGTCTTTGGTTCTTATTCCGAGTTGCATGCCGTGAGGTAATCATCAGACAACTGATGAATCATGATTTTGGCGACGATTGCTTTGCGGCATGAAACTCGGAGCTAACAACAAACCTGAACATCCTCCAGGACCTCCACTGAGTCAGACTGCCTGCTATGTTCTAAGTTCTGTCTATGGCATTGAGCACTCTCTGCAGCTTGGTGATCTGGTGATAGAGCACTCCTTTGAAGTTTGTGCTGTCCAAAGCAGCCCCCCCCCCCCCCCCCCCTAACACATGACAACTCTGAGGTGGCAGTACAAGCCTTGGGAGCCAATGCAATGTACCAGTAATTATGCTAGTGCAGTAGTTAACACATACGGAAGGTCTGTACATGTACTGTACTGTGCTTGGCTTTCTCTTCGTCGGCACCGGCAACAGCGAGACACAAGAAGTGTGGCTGGCCTTGAAATATAAACTGGTCCGAAAATGCAAAAGCTAGAAAAATATGTCTTTCTCTTTTCTGAATGTACACATCCTTTAAATAGGTTGGTTCCCATTTCCCTTCACGGTCACAACACTCCACTGATGATTGTGACAAGAAAACGTTCTGGACATGAAACTACTACAGGTCGTCCCTCGTTAATACATAATCTCTGGGACTTGACAAATGTTATGTATTAACGGGGTTTATGTACTAAACGAAAGTGTACATAACTTACTTGTGTACCAGAATTTTTCACTTTTTCTACTTTTCTGAGTGTTTCTTGCTACCATGACTAGGCAGCGAGATATTCTTGATTCCCTCGATATAACATAAAAATTATGTTATACCGGTCACAGTTAGCGAAGATTCTACAGTTTGCATGATACATGCCCAGCCGCGCCTGTATAGTCTCTCCAAAAAAAACAGAGCTTTGTCGGTTTATGATGTGCGCTCTGATTTCTGAGCTAATTGCGTCCACAAGTAGAAACTAGAACACGATGTGCCTCCACTGGAAGGCCAAAATACCAACAAATTATGTACTATTGAGGTAGGTGGCATGCGGGTACGGAGAAATGTTATGTACTAACGGGGTTTATGTACTAACGGATTATGTACTAACCGACAAAATTTGTATGGAAGTGACCACGTTTCGTCCGGGACTTGAGATTTCTTATGTACTAACGGGGTTTATGTACTAACCGGACTCGTATTAACGGGGGACGACCTGTACATTGGTGGTTGCTATGCTTGTGATATGAGTGTGTAGTTTAAAATGCATATTCATCGTCATAAAAACAACGACCATTTACATGGACATGTGGATGATAATCCGTGTGACACTCATACCCAACGTCCCAACGTCCAATGATAAAAAACAACAATTATGAGAGAAACGCGGAGAAGGGAGAGAAAGAGAGAACACTTCTTTAAATGTAAAAAAAAGGAGAAACAGCCAGCAAACTCTCGGATAAGTGCAATGACGTAGCGTAGATGACAATAAAAAGTAACATAAAAGCGTTAAAAGTACATTTTTTGTAAAACTAGTAAAAAAAGAGCAAGAAAGACATCACCAGAAAGTGGGCTTTCAGTCGGGTTCAAAATGAGTACTAAAATATCGGTATTTTAGTACCCAGTGCAATTTTGCAATCGTGATATTAGCCGAAAGACAGTGATGCATGTGTGGACAATAATTTGGGTGCATGTACATGTAGGCATGTTGCCATGGTCACACAGGTATATGTATGAGTATTTCCATGGCAACATACATGTAGATAGATGTATGCGTATTTCATGCTGTGATATGATCTGTGACTCTCACTCGGTCAAAGAAGCCGTTGACAAAACAAAACAAGTGACTGTAGTTCGTTAGATGGTCAACCAATGTGAAGTAGTCCAAGGGCTCCTTCGGATGGCGGTGACGACGATGACAGGAAAGACACACCTCATTTTTATGAAAGCTAACTAAATGACATGATGAGCAAAGACATGATGTATTTCATGATAAAAATATTTTTGCAGGGCTCACCCAGAGGCCTGTTATGTAAGGTATGCTGTCGTTATAACCCCGTTGCCAAGGGAACAACGTTCTACACACCAGGCTACCCATAAGAATGACGACGACTACGTACGGTATGGGTATGTCATCATCCGCACGATGAATGACTCCAATGCAATGGATGACGGTGATGACATCAATACCGGGGCAGCAACTGTGTGGTGATGATGACATCATATGCATGACATCATGCGGGCGGTGATGACGTAATGCGCATCACATTGACAAGAAGAATTCTTCGGCAGTTTTGTAATTCATGGCCTCGACCAGCATGATGTAGCGAATGACAAACTCCGGCAGCCACACATCATACACGTATGCTTCTGGTCCCGTGTCCAGCATACCCGGTTGGGCGTAGAACAACGTACGCACCTCCTTGTGAACAAACTGTTGCTGTGCGGATTCAAGTAAAACACACGCACACACGCACGCATGCACCGATACGCGCATGCACACACACACACACACTCACACACACACACACACGTACGCACACACACACACGTACGCACACACACACACACACACACACACACACACACACACACACACACACACACACACACACGCATGAGCGCACACGCATACAGCATGCAAATCAAATTGAAACAGAGGCTCATACGGCTAAAGGTAGCCGTGACTAAAACAAGACTGTAGGGGGTAAGAGGTAGTGTTAGAGATACACTCCTGTTTCACAGAGCTGGACATAGTCAGGGCAGTGTTAGAGATACACTTCTGTTTCACACAGCTGGACATAGACAGGGCAGTGTTAGAGAGATACACTCCTGTTTCACACAGCTGGACATAGTCAGGGCAGTGTTAGAGATACACTCCTGTTTCACACAGCTGGACATAGTCAGGGCAGTGTTAGAGATACACTTCTGTTTCACACAGCTGGACATAGACAGGGCAGTGTTAGAGAGATACACTCCTGTTTCACACAGCTGGACATAGTCAGGGCAGTGTTAGAGAGATACACTTCTGTTTCACACAGCTGGACATAGTCAGGGCAGTGTTAGAGAGATACACTTCTGTTTCACACAGCTGGACATAGTCAGGGTAGTGTTAGAGATACACTCCTGTTTCACACAGCTGGACATAGTCAGGGCAGTGTTAGAGAGATACACTTCTGTTTCACACAGCTGGACATAGTCAGGGCAGTGTTGTTCATCTCCTCTCCCTCGTCACTTTTGCTGGACGAACGGAGCATCTTCAACATGGGCAGCATCGCACAAACACTTTGCGAATCAAGGAAACTGCATACTTTCACAGACTCACATAAAGATACGGATCTCCAAACGAAAGAGAATAATGAAACGGGTGTGTGTGGGGGGGGGGGCTCAGGTGTTACAACCTGCTGCATTGACAACAACAACAACAACAACAACAACGACAACAACGACAACAACAACAACAACGACAGCAGCAGCAGCAGCAGAAACAACAATAATGGCAACGACAACAACAAATACTACAGCAGCAGCAGCAGCAGCAGTAACCAAACAACGGCCTTACCACATCGAAGTCGGTGATTGGTCCAAATCCGCTCGTCTCTTTCAGACTAGAGCGGGTTTTGTTACTGTTGGAGAACTTCTGATGACGAACACTAGGTAGCTTACCAGCCAGGATTAGGAGAAGGTCTTTCTGTAGGTGCAGACGTCAACAACATACCAGCATACAACACCACCACCACCACCACCACCACCACCACCACCACCACCACCACAACAGCAGCAACGGCAGCAGCAACACAGACACACCGTTGGGAGACTGATGCATAACTACTACGAGGATGGCCAGGCATCCATCCAACACAGTGCATGTCTGCTCAGAACCCCCCCCCCCCCCCCCCCCCCCAGGACTGGGTTAGAGGTGCAGCTAGCCG